AGTAAGAATCCTTAAAGGTCCTTAAAAGTCTAATAAAGGAATACAATATTAATAGGTATGTTTTCATTAGTGTATAATCAACTGAAAATAAGAATCGTTGTCCCGAACGGATAAGCCAAACACTAGCTCGAGACAGGGCCATTCATGTTTTTTGTGCCTTTCGTGGCCACCGTAGTTTCTTTCTTTAAGTGAGGGAGTTTTAATCTGCAACTACAACTAATCACTATCCTTTAAAGGCCTCTCATGGTTCGAGTCCTGGTCCTGTACTCAGCCTATTTCACAAAGCAGGTTGTAGTACACCTGTGGGTCGGACTCTAATCGTCACTCAACATCCGTCCTTTTACCCTGACAGTCGATACGGGCCTCGAGCCTGTTTATAAACTAAGTATTGACTGATAAGTAAGACTAAGTGAAGCAACCAGCCATTCAGCTGACAATGACGTCACTCTTATTACTGCAGTGATGTTCCTGTAAATGTAATTTCTGTTTTTTAATAATGCATCAACACATTAAAGAACTAGATGGCATTTAAATGAACTATTTTTAAAATACATTTTCAAAGTGGAGAAGACTCACATAAATATATTAAAGCCCTGCTATGTGTGCAATTGTTCTGCAGCCGAGACGGCTGACAACCGCTCACAGTCTCCGTTGTAGTAACAGGACGCACTTTGTGGTGAGTTTTCCAGGTACGCAGCAGTCAGAAATGGTGAATGTCAGAGCAGGCGATGGGAAGGTGTGTCATTGTGAACAGAGCTGTGAAGGGACGCTGTGTTTTGATGGAAAATGTTTTTAAGGATCATGTTCATGTTTTCTGTGATATTTTATTTGATTATACAGATTTTATACACACACCTTATTTATTACTTTAAGTTGACGACCCTTCGGTTTTCTGTTTAATTTTTCTTCAGATCCATGAAACCATAGAGACCATTAACCAGCTGAAGACCCAGAGAGAGTTCATGTTGAGTTTTGCCAGAGATCCTCAGGGCTTTATCAACGACTGGCTGCAGTCCCAGTGCAGAGACCTCAAGGTGAGTCTGCTCGTCATGACCTCAGACTGAGTCTTCCAGGAACTTTTATTCATGGTCCAGTATCACCACAGATACCATGTTGCTTCTCCTTGAAAACAAAAACATCCCCCTTACAGCCCGTTACAGCAGTTATCACAGCTGTTGTCAACGTACTGTGCATCCCTACATGTTTTATACGCTTTTAAGCAAGAAAGAAATGTCTTAAACTGGTAAAATGATGTAGTTGTGGTGTCATTCAGAAGAGTAAGGGTTCTGCCATTCTGTGTAAATGTTCAGTAGTTGAGAGAAATCCATCATCGATGAGAGGAAGCAGTTTTTCTTTAGGATGCAGGATGTGATGCTGTACAGATTTGTGATTTTGGTTAAGTAATGACTCATCAGCCAACCTATAAAACCAATTTGTAAACAATTTGACCACAGGCACATTTTATAAAAAACAAAACATTAAAGGAATGTAAAAAGAAAACACTTTAAGAAGCAGAATACGGTCATTTTGTTAAAGTAGATACAAAAGGGGGAGAAAACGTCTGAACTTCTAAAACTATAAAAATACTGATAATTCCCATAATATAAATAGAAGGAAACTCTCTTTTAAATATCAACAGCCACTTGACATGCATTAAAATGTCTTCTGTTGTCAGATGTCAAATGTCAAGAATCAAATAATTCAAAGGAAAAACAACAAACATAAACATCGCCTCTGGCATTTCTAAGCCAGACGGGATTCTGAGTAATTTTCAAGTTCTTGTTCGAGGTTAATGTTTGCTCTTTGCTGTGGCACAGTGACTTGGGTTTCAATTCGAGGTTCAACTGTGGGCAGAGAGGTCTTCATTACATAAGTACGGTGACATCGTGCTCTCTGAAAGCACAAGGCCAACTGTAACACAGGAGGGCAGAGTCAAAATAGAGCAAGAAACATTTAATAACATGTCTGACTGGGCGCACGCTCGCCTCCCCTCTGACCATGAGACGATTAACTGCTGACCAGCTGTCGACCACCTGCAGTGTTTGTTCAGCCGAATCTCTGTGAAATTGAATGAATTTAGTCCAAAGCTCGCTGGCTGCTTCCACAGCAACCGCCCAGTCAACCTTATCAACAAAAAAAAAAGAAAAAGGAGCCTGTGACATTATGTTTGTCATAGCTGCTGCAGTCACTGTTTGATTCAGGCACTTTGATAGACGTTATTCATCCTTAAAACCTCCTGTGCGCTTTAATTTCTCCGCTGCAGGACGACATGAGTCGTGTCTAATGTCTAATTGTGCCTTTCTCTCTTCACAGACCATGACAGATGTGGTAGGAAACCCCGAAGAAGAGCGAAGAGCAGAGTTTTACTACCAGCCATGGGCTCAGGAGGCCGTCTGTCGCTACTTCTACTCCAAGGTAATGTTTTTTCCTCTAGCGCCACCATGA